TTTGTTTTTGTTGCATTTGCTTTTGGGGTCTTAGTCATAAATTCGTTGCCTAGTCCAATGTCCAGAGAGTTTTTCCTATGTTTTCTTCTAGGATTTTTATGGTTTCAAGTCTTACTGTTAAGTCTTCAATTCATATTGAGTTAATTTTTGTATATGGTGAGAGATAGGGATCCAGTTTCATTCTTCTACATGTGACTGTCCAATTTTCCCAGCTCCACATATTAAGTAGTGTGTCCTTTCACCAGTGAAGGTTTTTGTCTGCTTTGTTAAAGATCAGTTGGTTGTAGGTATATGGTTTTATTTCTGGGTTCTCTGTTCTGTTCCATTAATCTATGTGTCTACTTTTATGGCAGTACCATGCAGTTTTGATTACTATAGCCTTGGAGTATAATTTGAAATCAGGTATTGTAATGTCTCCAGATTTGTTCTTTTTGCTTAGGATTGCTTTGGCTATTTGGGCTTTTTTGGTTCCATATGAATTTTAGAATTGCTTTTTCTATTTCTGTAAAAAATGACATTGGTATTTTGATAGGAATTGCATTGAATCTGTAGATTGCTTTGCGCAGTATTGTCGTTTTAATGATATTGATTCTTCCAATCCATGAGCATGGAACATTTTTCCATTTGTGTAATCTATTATTTCTTCATTAGTGATTTGTAGTTCTCCTTGTAGAGATCCTTCACCTCCTTGGTTAAATTTATTCCTAGGTATTTTATTTATTTATTTATTTTTGCAGCTATTATAAATGGGATTGAGTTCTCAGCTGGATCATTGTTGGTGTATAGAAATGCTATTGATTTTTGTATGTTTATTTTATATCTGACACTTTGGTAAATTCATTTATCAAATGTAAGAATCTTTTGGAGGAGTCCTTGGGGTTTTCTAGGTTTAAGATTATTATCATCAGCAGAGATAATTTGACTTTCTCCTTTCTAATTTGGATGCCTTTTATTTCTTTCTTTTGCTTGATTGCTCTGGCTAGGACTTTCAGTATGGTCTTGAATAGAAGTGGTAAAAGTGGGTATCCTTGTTTTAATTCTTAGGGGGAATGCTTTCTACTTTTTACTGTTCAGTGTGATGTTGGCTGTGGATTTGTTATAGATGGCTTTAATTATTTTGAGGTATGTTCCTTCTATGGTGAGTTTGTTGAAGGTTTTTATCACGAAGGGATGCTGGATTTTATCGAATGCTTTTTTTGCATCTATTGAGTTGATCATATGGTTTTTCTTTTAATTCTGTTTATATGGTGAATCACATTTATTGACTTGCATATGTTGAACCATTTTTGTATTCTTGGGATGAAACCCGCTTGATCATGGTGAATTATCCATTTGATGTGCTTTTGGATTCTGTTTGCTCATATTTTGATGAGGATTTTTGTGTCTGTGTTCATCAGAGATATTGGTCTGTAGTTTTCTTTTTTGTTGCATCCTTTCTTGGCTTTGGTATCAGGGTGATACTGGCATTGTAGAGTGAGTTAGGGAGGATTCCCTTTTTCTCTATCTTTTGGAACAGTTTCAAAAGAGGCCAATACTGTACGCTTACATGTTTAGACACTTTGGTTGGGAATCACTGGACTGAAAGATTTAAACAGTTGACTAGCTGTTAGAAAGTATGTTTCAGATGGTGTTCTCACTGCCGTTCTTGATAGTTTGGGCATGAGGCTGGAAGGGTGGAGTTAACTGGCAGAGATTTTCTGTTGAAGCTGGGCTAAGATACGTTGAACACCTCCATACACTTATTTCTGGAAACAGTTTATTTTTTCCTCAGGAAGCAAGGCAAAGAAGACTCTACTCATTTATCAGCAAAGCAAAACATACACCAGTGAGCCAGCTATAGCCCCTGCTTCTGTAGTATCAGTCTTGGTTTCAAATAGGAGAGGTAAGAACATCCATGATGGTGCTATCTTCTGGGGCAGGACAAGGAGTGACCTTGAAGAGGGGCTGTTTTATTTTGTATTGAACACTTGATTAGTACATCTGACTATGTGATGTCTCTTTGCTATACCCCAGGGCATATTGGCCAGCATGAAGGTTATTGACATCTTGTTTCTTTTAACTTTAAAGTGATCTTTGAGTTACTCAGAAAGTACCTGTTGTTTAAAATAAGCAACTACTTCACTTCTTAAAAATCTGTTTATCCTTCAGTTCTGCCTTAGCATCTCCTTGGAGAAAGGGATGAAGGCTGTGCCTATACCTGCCACTTATTAGCTGTGATTTCTTAACTTCTCTAGCCTTAATTTTCTTACCTATTTATGATGCTAAACATATCTACATCATAAGTAGTTAAAGATTAAACAAGTGAATATATGGAGAACACTGCTCTGGGCACTTAATAGATACTCAACAAGTGTTTTTCACAGTGTTGTCATGTGTCCTCTATTTCTGCCTAGCATGTGTCTCCTCGTGAGCCCTGCTCATGTCGTTGTCACATGGGAGGGCAGGTGAGGTGTTAGTTATTCTCACTCAGTAATGGCCACTTACAGTGACTAGTCGATGCCAATGACCTAAGATTTTTCTCTTTAATAAAAAATTTAAAGACAGTGAACTCTCTGTGTGGGAGAAAGTGTAAGAGAACTTTGCTATTTTGAACAATGTATTTATGAAGCATTTATCTTCCAGGAAGAAGAGCCCTGTGAGAGCACCAGCGAGGAGGAGTTTGGTTCTGAGGATCGTCAGGGCCTAAATTCTGTTGTTGATGTTGAGGATCTTGGCAAAATAATGGATCGCATGAAGAAAGAAAAGGTATCATTATTTTGGGAAATATTGAACTTGGTTCCTGCAGTTGGTTGGCATTTAGTATTCTGTGTTGCTGTGTAGTCCATCTGAGTTCACAATAACAGTTTAATTTCTCTAGTTCCTGTCTTGAGAGTTTTATAATTTTTTGCCATTTTTTTCATGAGTTTTGTGAAGACCTTCCATTTTGTGAAAATGAGCTCATAGGAGGATAAGCAGGAAATTTTAGGATAAGGACCGAGGAGAGGGTAGATGGTTAGAGAGACTTTATTCAGGGCTGTATGAGGATGAACAGCATGATAGGCTTTATTATTGTTGAGGTTCCAGGTGGAACTGTGGTGCAAATTTGCTTCCCTATTGTGTAGACAGAGTAGTCTGGGGGCTTAGGAATGGCAGCTGTTCTGTAGGTGTTGAGATCAGTGTGGGTGGGGGCCTTAGGAATCCAGGAAATGGAGTCTGGTTGTGACTGCCTCAGTGATTAGATGAATATGAGAATGTACAGTGTGGTAGGATTTTATGCAGATTCCAATGATCTAAAATTGAAATATTATATATACTGTACCAAAAACAAAATAAAGTGTTAATTTAATTATGAGTTTGGGAAAATGAGAATTCCCTTAACTAAAAATATATCAAGTCTGTAAGCCTTAGAAGAAAAAGAAATAAAACTATTAGAAAAATCTGAAAAAAATCAATGATAAAACCTATATGAATTCAAATGAAAGAATTCAGTAAGGTAGCAGGATATAGTCAGGAAGTAAGTCAATAGCTTTTATATTTCCAAACATTAACCAGTTGGAAGGTATAATGAAAGAGACTTCATTTACAATAGTCACATAAAAGGTAAATAATTGCATATGGATAGACATAAAAAGAAGTGCCCTAAACCTACATTGGAAAACTTTAAAACTTTCCTGAAAGGTATGCAAATGGAAAGACATCCTTGTTTTAGATAGGGTGACTTAGTATGGTAAAGATACCAATTCACTTAATACAAATATTTAATGCAGTCCCAATAAAAATCCCAATAAGGTTTTTTTCCACCCTGCATCTAGACTGGTCTATTCATGTGGAAAAATAAACATGCAAGAATAGTTAAGAAAACCTTAGCAAAGTAGTAATGAGAAGGACTAATCCTTGCAGATATTGAAACATACCATAAGGCATCTTTAATTAAAAATGTATTATTGGCTCATTATGAGACAGACCTATGCAACAGACTAAAATTCTAAGATTAGACTCAAGAATATGTGGGAATTTTATCTATGTTACAGGTGGAATCTCAAGTACTGGAGTTAAAAAGGGACTTTAAAAATAATGGTGTTGTGACAACATCTATTACCT